CAATCAAAAAAAAGTTGGCACGCCACTGCCGACCAGTAAGCTTCTGGTCAATAAGATCGAAGGTATGTGGACAGTCATAGAAAGGGACATTAGAAAAAAATGTCACCGCCAGTCCGGTACCACAGACGCCATTTTCGATTTGTATTTTGCCGAATTTATGTGGCGATGTAGGTACACAGATTCTATTCATGATAAATTTAGACAGTATCTAACTGCTGCTTGAGAATTCTGTGCACCTAAATCTGAGGATATTCAAGCTTAATGAAGAAGTGAGCTGTTTTTTTCCTTTTCTTTCCGTGCTTACTCCATGAATTTTTGTTTCAATTCAAAATGCATTTTATTGGGTTCATTAATTTTGCTTATATTGGGTTCATTGCAATTTTATAAAGTTTTGGCCGATGTTTTGTTGAAATTTTCCAATGTTTTATTGAAATAATCATTATGTTTCAGCCGTAATTCCTGTTACCACGGTGTTCCGCGCAAACAGGAATGGCGCCAAACATAAGTCGCCAATTTCGCCAAAGGGCACCCTCAAGTATATTTTAACCATATAAAACACTTTGTTTGTTGATATGAATTACTCGCTTTTATCCTTTCTGTCCTTCCAACTTATAACTCAGTTTGTTTCAGTTTTTCTTTCCATCCATTCCCATACATACAGCTTCCATCCATTTTCTTTTCAAGCCATCGCGAGAAAATTATTTTCATTTAGAAATCTATTCAATTATGTAGAAAAATTTATTAGGCAACCAGAAAAAGTTGAAATGGCTTATTAGACAAAACGCTTGCTCTCGACAAAGATGGCGAAACTTTAAATTTTAGCTATGAACAAGGACTAATTTACGAGAATGTATTCGGGAAATATGTCCAAGGCCTTCATTTTGTGAGGGCCCCTCACACCCAAGATACGTATGAAAAGAAAATATTTTTATTTTTTTAACTAGTTCGATCTTTAACCTGTAAGAGCTTATAATTGCTTTTTTTAATTAAAACAATGTATATTTCCACAATAACGCAATTAGATAGGTACTTAGTACAACTATCTTCCAAGATAATTTTCCTCATTCTCACCAACAATTCTTACTCTATCAATTAATTTCAGTATTTTTCTCAAAGTTTAGTTAAATTAAATGCTAAATTTTTATATGACGGGCTTCCAAATATGGTTTACAAATTATTGTCTAAAATGTTATCCTTCGATATTGTGATTTACAAACCATGCACGTTAACTGAAGCTTGTCGACGCTTTTAGAAGACCCACACGTGACTTCGTGCTTAAAAAGCCCCGAGATATGTAAATCGGGCGCTGGCAATGACAGGTATATTCACATTTTGCTGCCTATAAGCACTGACCACCAAATCGACTAATAAAATTTTATCATAGATGCTAATAAATGCTTTTAACCACTTTTCAGTCAAACAATCAGGTAATAATTTGATGTATCTCGTGTTTCTAAAATGTCTTGCTTTGAACTCGACTTGGAAGTAAATAAATCAACCAACCAAACGATTATGGTAAGCGGACTGTAGTTTAAGATATTTAAAAGAAGATGAACTTAATAAAATGATTTGAAATACCTTTGATTTATTTCATTTTATTAATTTCATCCCCCCGTGTGGTGTCCGGGGTAGAATTGCACCAACGTATTCCCGGCGTGTCGTAAAAGGCGACTAAATGGTTTGAGCGCAAGGCCAATCCCCTTGCCCCGTAAAAAAAATCTACCGATTCAGAAAACTCAAAGAAAAACTTCCGGACCGGCACTTCGTAGACGACCTGGTACGAAATCGGACATGATTTTTGGAACATGGAATGTTAGAACATTATATAGAGGAGGTGCAGTGAAAAAACTAACTGATGTTTTCTTGGAGTACAAATTAGATGTACTGGCTGTTCAGGAAATGAGGTGGACTGGAAGTGGAGTAATGGACAAGCGAAATTGCAGTATCTACTATAGCTGCCACGACAGACTACACCAATTTGGAACAGGTTTCATCGTCAACAAAAGAATCAGAGACAAAGTGATTGAATTTAAGCCAGTGAATGAAAGAATTTGNAAGAATCAGAGACAAAGTGATTGAATTTAAGCCAGTGAATGAAAGAATTTGCAGAATACGAATCAAAGGAAGAACGCATAATATCTCAATTATTTGTGCCCATGCCCCCACGGAGGACAAGGCGGATGAAGTTAAGGATGGATTCTATGACCTTCTAGAAAAGACACAAAGTGAATGCTGTTCAAATGATGTGAAACTGCTCATGGGCGATTTCAACGCAAAGATTGGCCACGATACAAACATGAACAGATTTGCTGGAAATGAAAGCCTACATGAAGAGACAAGCAAAAAGGGCATCCGACTTATTAACTTGGCCATTTCTACAAACATGGTAATAGGGAGTACAACTTTTAAACACAAAAACATACATAAAGCCACCTGGAGATCCCCAGATGGATTAACCCAAAATCAAATAAATCACATACTTATTGATTTAAGACATAGAAGCAGTCTTCAAGACGTTCGAACATACCGCGGTGCAAATGTGGACTCCGATCACTTTTTGGTAGCCTCAAAAATACGTCACAAGGTAAATAGATATTATCATAAAAGGAGAGATAATAACGACAAAAGGATTGACATTGAGCAGCTAAAGAAGACAGAGGTAATGAAAGAGTTCCGAAAAGAACTAAAAAGCAAGATTGAATCGAGTGTCGAAACTGAGACTGTGGAGACTGCGTGGCAGTCTCTTAAACAAACCATAATTAATGCGTCTGAAAAAACAATACCAGAAATGGAAGGAAAGAAAACCACCTCTTGGTTTGATGAAGAATGCTGTGCCATTACGAAAAAGAAGAATGAAGCGTATAAATCCATGATCCAGAAACGCTACACTAGGCGCGCAGAAGAAACATATTAAGAACTGCGAAGAGAAGAAAAAAGAATTCATAAGATGAAGAAACGAGAATATATGGAAGAGGTATATAAAGACATTGAAAACTTAAAAACTCAAAAGGAAGCAAGAAAATTTTACCAACTGATAAAGAATGTCAGAGCAGACTTCAACCCCAGAACAATAACCTGTAAGAACAAAAACGGAGAACTTACTCGAGACCCGGATGAAGTTCTAGCCCGTTGGCGTGAGCACTTCGTAGATTTACTAATGGGGAGAGATAGAGAAGAAGATCTAAACACTTGTAACATGCTGCCAACCATGAGTACTGAAGGTGAAGCCATAGAACATAATACACTCTATACACTAATATACTCTACTCCTTACGACGTGGAAATAGCGTTGAGGAGGCTAAACAATAATAAATCAGCTGGACCTGATGGCTTAAAAGCCGAACTCTTCAAAATTGACGAAACGAAGCTAAACAAAGCTATATATAGCTTGATTTGTTGTATATTCACAAAGGAACAAATGCCCACTGAGTGGGATGAAGGATCTATTAGCCCTATATACAAGAAAAGTGATAAACTCGAATGTGGAAACTACAGGGGAATTACCCTTCTAAATATTGCGTACAAGATCTTCTCCATTATTTTATGCAAGCGATTGGAGACCTACACCTCGGGAATCATTGGAAAGTACCAATGCGGATTCCAGAAAGGAAAAACAACGACTGACCAATTGCATACTATCAGGCAGATCTTGGAGAAAACCAAAGAGTATAACATTGACACATACCACTTATTTATTGACTTTAAAGCTGCCTACGACAGCATCAACCGAAGAAAACTACTTGAGGCTATGTTGGAGTTTAACATCCCAAAGAAGCTAATCAGCCTCACAAGAATGACACTCAAAAGAGTTTCGTGCAGAATAAAAATCTCGTCAAGTCTCTCTGAACCATTCTTCACCGAAAAAGGCCTGAGACAGGGTGATTCCGTTTCTTGCCTGCTATTTAACATAGCTTTGGAAAAGGCCATTGGAGAGTCTGGTATCAACACAAATGGAACAATCTTACAAAGAACTGTCCAACTACTCGCTTTTGCTGATGATATCGACATAGTTGGAAGAACAAAACGCTCAGTCATTGACACTTTTGTAGCGCTTGAGAATGCGGCGAAGGAGATGGGACTAGTTATAAATGCAGACAAAACCAACTTTTTGATCGCAACAAATAAAACTCCTGATCGATCTCATCTGGAGATAATGACTTACTCTTTTGAAACTGTTAACCAGTTCAAGTACTTAGGAACCTTGATCTCTAGCCACAACAACCTGAAAATCGAAATAAATAACAGAATTTCTATGGCTAACAGAAGTTTCTACGGCCTCAGAAACCAATTGAAATCCAAGTTCATCAGTGTGAAGACAAAGTTAAACATCTACAAAACTTTAATCAGGCCTATAGTTACGTATGGAAGTGAGTGCTGGACCCTAAACAAAACAGAGGTGGAAAAACTGCTAATTTTTGAAAGAAAA